CCCCTTGCAGCAGTGGGAGAATAGAAATATATTACAAATTGCTAAATCACGATAGTCCATTATACTGTGATGTTTAACTTATGTTTGTAAATGTGTATGGAAGTTATTTTATACAAATAACAAGAGTTGAATGGTAGTTAACACCTTTAAAATATTTTTTACAATTGGTTTGAATTCTGGATATAATTTTCAATTTTTACTACCACTTTCCTAATTACCATTTGTACTAGTTAATTTTTTATTTTTGGTCATTCATTTCCATTATTTTTACAATAAATATTTGTTAAACTTCATTTAAATTTTTTTTAAAATACAAAATTCTGTTTCTACTTAGTTTGTATACTGAACTCACAATATGCAACAAATTAAAATAAACAATGGCTTAGCCATTTTGTTGACAATTGCAGATGTTCTGATTAAACATAAACACCAGAAGTCATCAGCATCATGGGTTTATATAATTATAAGATATGCTCCAAAGAGTTGGTGCCACTGTGATTACTATCAAGTCATACAAATTGAAATAGAAATCCAGTAATAAGACATCAAAACTATATATTTTATTATTATTATGAGTGTATTGTGTTTTTTATCCACTTTATTTTTCTCCTAAAATGCTCCAAAAGCACTTCAATTTTAAAAACTTTTCCAGGGGCAACATCCCCTAGACCTCTCTAACAGGACTTCTACACTTTCTGAAATATTCTTTGCATTTACTGAATAAGATTTTTTCTATATAGAAAGTTGGTCGGTATACATAATATCTAAATGTTTATTTGTACTGGTTTATTTTATACCCAAATTCATTGCTAATTATATGCCATTTCTGGAATATTATTTAAGTTTGTGTTAGAAAGGAGTGTACCAGTTTGTTGTGTTTTCCCATGAAAGATGGTCTATTAATGACATTTTTTTTTAGATGGAATACTGAAGACAGGCCTAAAGGATTAAGTTATTAGAAAAGGAATACTAACCTTTTTTGTTTTGTTTTTTCAGTACACCAGTAACATCTAACATTTTAAGTTTTATTTAAGTTTATAACTTCAATGATCACAGTAATCTGCAAAGGATCATGGTATTGAAACTCTCACTGGAGCAATTAATTAGAGAAGTACTAGCATAACTATTATTTCATGAAGACTTAGGTGGGCAAACAGTTGGAAATTACAGAATAATATACAGTAACTCTTCAGTTTGGTTGAAGAATTGTCATTGTAGACATTAATCATGTGTGTGTTAGTTAGTAACCCAGTGCTTACAATCGATACATAACTAAGTTTTTTCATTAGTGAAATATAAATAACAAATGTAAAACAGCAGTATAAAGCTAATTACTGCTAAAAAGTAAGAATCACTGTATTACATGACAGTGTGTATCATATTCTATAAATTCCTTTCATACATTTTTAAACAGTGCCTTCTCTTCAATGTAACTATCAATCTATAAACTAAACAGTAATAATAAATTGAATATTTCTGGTAATTTTCATGCATTTTATTTACTACAAAACAAGTGATGTAAAATAGATATTAAGTTTTAAGGCTTATTGCCAAATTATTTGCTAGACAGACAGGGCCGTCTTATCGCTTGGGCACACTGGGCAGGGGCCCCGAGATTCAATTTGAAAAATAAAGATTAAGGTTCATATTATTAAATAGCAATGGCGTTAATGTGAAATCAGGGCCTCCTTACCTTGCTGGCACAGCAACACTTTTTGTGTTTTTGCATTTTTATATACATGTAATACAATACAAGCAGTCCTAATGCAAATGTTCAAGAGTTGTTAAAAGTTGAATGAACTCTCAAACAGCTCAGAGTATGCAGCTAATATATAATAAACAAATAGTGCCACTTCAGCCAGTGTTATTACTCCATGGCTTAATTATTAGCAAAAATACGAAAGTTTTTCAACAACCCGAAATTTCCCCCCATGGCATGGTTCAAGATCAGCCAGAAAATACGGTAAATATCATTGAAATTTTAGTTGTTACTTGTTTGGGTACCGTACTGTCCAGCCAAGTAAAAAAACAATTTCTTATAATAATATTAATGTTTATGAAGTTAAATCAAAAATAAAATAAAAAACTGATACTCTAGTCTGTTCAAAGCATTCTAATGTTAGGCTCGTTTGCCTAACATATGTTTGTACAGTAAATGGAGCTTAGGCTTACCCACTTGTTTACACACTGAGTCATTTACGGTTTTGTTGATCAAAATATGCTCAAATGACACCACATAACTACTAAATAAGTGAATAATTGTTCATGCCACATCATGTTAGGCCTGAAGAGTGAATTTCATTCAACTTTATCAAGCCAAAAAACAAATTTTCATGAAAAACACCACCACTATAAAAAATCACCTAATTTGCATACAAATATCATGCAAATTAGTGTGAAATTGATATTTATAGAAAGCTTAAGTCATAAGCTTTAAAATAATGTACAATTGTCATTATGACTTCTGTACACAAATATTTATAAAAAATTAATTTGTAAATCATATAATATTCAGTATAGGCCTGGGTTAAAGCTCAGGACATAATGGGTCAATTTTTGGCAAGCTTTTGGCTTTCAATTCATAACATTTGAGGAGCTTCCTGGACCCATAACAGGACTTTGCCCCTGGACTCCACCAGGGAAGCAGTCTGTTGTACGCATGTGCGGTGCAGCCAAGGCGACATAAATGTTTCCTCATTTGTATTTTTCCCCAAACCAGAAACCCTCGAAGAATTGGCAACCCCAAAGAAAATTGCTGGCTACACCCTTCCTTGAATTCATGATAAAGGTGAATATGCATGACCACACCTAAATGCAGTGCTGTTACTAGGCATTTATTTTTTAAATTACTGTCCTCACCTGGTGAGGTACCTGTTGGAATATTCGATTCAGCACAAAGAAAGTGATTGTGTGGATTCTGCATTGCTAAATCAGCTTCGTTCACAAAAGGAGTACTGGCATAAAGTGTGTGGTTTCTGTTATCCGCTTTCTTGCCTCCAGAAGTTTGGCATTTTGTGGGGAGAATCAAACTACTGGCTCCTCAAAAAATGGAAACTTTCTTGGCATTCTAGAACTATTGAGTGAATTTGACCCTTTTTTGGAAGAACATTTAAAAGTGTACAGAAATGCTGGAAAGGGGAACCCATCATATCTATCAACAAACATTTGTGAACAATTTATTGAAATAATAGGACAACAGGTATTTTGTGCAATTCTGGAAGAAATCAAAGAGTCAAAGTATTATTCAGTAAGTGTTGATTCCACTCCAGACATCTTGCATATTGATTAACTGACATTTACCGTCCAGTACATTCGTGGAAGTGAGCCGGGGGAACATTTCCTCAAATTCATCCCCATCTTTTCTCACGGGGCGAAGAATTTAGCAGACACGGTTGTGGAGTTCCTGCAAGAGAACAACATTCCGTTATCAAACTGCTGTGGTCAGTCTTATGACAATGCCTCAAATATGTCAGGATGCTACACTGGATTGCAAGCACGAATCCGTGAACTAAATGAATTTGCTATCTATATTCCTTGTGCTGAACACAGTCTGAACTTGGTGGGAGTAAAAGCGGCAGAGTGTGGTCCACAGATCATCTCCTTCTTTGAAATTGTTCAGCGTTTGTATTCCTTTTTCTCAGCTTCCACACATCGCTGGAATGTTCTGACGTCATCCTTGGGAAAGAATCGTATTGTGGTCAATTGTCGCTCTGACACGAGATGGTCAGCACATTTCGATGTTGTCACTGCTCTTCATGGAGGTTTAGAGAAAATTCAGGGTGCATTGGATGCCCTTGCAGTTGATGCTGATCACGAGTGGAACACAAGATGCGAGGCAGAAGGATTGAGCAAGAAAATGGAGAAGCTAGAGATTATCTTTTTGACAATTCTTTGGAATGACTTTCTGGAAAGAGTGAACAAAACAAGTAAAATTTTGCAGTCAAAAGATTTGAACATATTTTTTTTGCCAGTGATCTCCTCAAGTCTCTGAAAGCCTATCTTCAGGAAATGAGAGACAAATTCAGTGAGTATGAAGCGAAGGCTAAAAGCAGGTGTCCAGATTCGAAATATAGCAATGGAGACAAATGTGCAAGAAAGCAAAGTGTGCATCTTACCAATTATGATGGATCAGCGAAACAGATACTTCTCCACGAAAATGAAAAATTCAAGGTGGAAACATACCTTCCTACGAAAATATTGGAAATCTGTTTTCCTTTTTCAGTCAGTTAAAAACAATTGACTGTAATGAGTGTAGTCAAAAGTGTGAAAAATTGGCTAATGCTTATCATGAAGATCTTGATTACAATGAATGCAAGCAATTCAAGCACTACATTGTCCACGATGAAGAATGCAAGACTCTTCCAGACATATACAGCAAACTCATTTCAGATAAGTTGAAATCTGTGTTTCCCAATGTTGAAATCGCATTCAGAATATTTATGTGCATGATGGTGACCACCTGTACTGGGGAGCAATCATTTTCCAGGTTGAAACTTGCAAAGAATCATCTTCACAGCACAATGGGACAGCAGCAGTTGAATCTGCTTTTCCTCATGTGCATTGAAAGCAACATCCTCAGAATAGTCTGTTTGTCTTTCTTCATGCTCCAGTGGCTCACTGGTAAATCTGAAGGTTCTTAACGCTAAAAATAGGGTTTTGGTACCCGTGATGGACACAGCACAGATAGTCTGTTGTATAGCTTTGTGCTTAACAACAAACCATCTAACCATTTCTCTCTTCATGATTGATTAGTTCAGTGCTAGAGACTCTCGCCTAAACATTTTGAAGTTTCAACCAATTATAAAGCAATTTTCTGCAATGAAATGCCACAAATTTTCCAGTTGAAAAACTTAATTGTAATGTGGGGGGGTTAAGGGACCCTAGTATATTGCTTTGCCCGTGGGCCTCAAATATTCTTAAGATGGCCCTGTAGATAGATATAGTGTTATTGACAATTGTAATAGGCAAGAACACTTCAGAATGTTTATTTACAATTTCAGTTGGTGATGGAAGGAAAGGTTACCCAGAAGAAGCCCCATATGATGCAATACACGTTGGTGCAGCAGCCAAGGAAGTTCCAGAGGAGGTGAAATTTGACAGGATGTTGTTATTTGTGGAATACTTTTTTTAAACATTTCAAGACTTAAGATGTAATTTGACATGTATAAGGAGGTTTCTGATTGTGGTTTTTGTTTTGTAAGTTGAGTTTTGAGATTATGACTGTGTGTGTTTGTGAGGGTGCTGTAGTAAGTTGGTTAAAGTAAGTTATGAACATGTGGATAGGGTGAATGTCTCTGAGTTAATGTAGAATCTAAAAGATTTGAGGGGAGAGAGCTAGGTATAGGTGTAATCTCAAATTTGAGACATGTTTTTGATGTAAATTACAAGTATGATTAACAGTAGGTGTGGTAGTCGTGGTTGGTTTTAAGGTATAAAGTTGTGTTAGAATGAAGGGTCTGATTAGTTTTAAGGAATGAAGTTGGGATAGTTTCTGAAGAACTGTTAAGAGTATGATAGGTTTATAATATACAGTTAAGAAAGAATATTAAGGGTATGGTTGGTTTACAATATAAAGTTGAAGAGAACTCTTAGGGTTTGGTTAGTTGAGGAGGGCTTAAAGTAATGGTTAGTTAACGGTATAATATTGAGAAGGACTGTTGAGGCTGCTATTAGTTAAGATATAGAAATGAGGAGAACTGTTATGGTATGAAATTGAGGAAGCCCATTAATCCTTTTGCATTGGTCTCCTGCAATTTGCAGGAACCGGACTGGGGAGTGATACGTGTGCAACTGTACATACGGTAACTTTGAGATTTCTTAATGTATCCTCACAAAAACTGGTAAGATTTTATTAAAGATTATAAGTATCTTGTACACAAATAATGATATAGTTTTAATTACATCTTTCTACTAAAAATATGTTAACTATTTATTGTAGTTATTTGCACTCAGACTCTGAATAGTTTTCATTTTAAGTACAAAAAATACTTCATCTTACAGTTTGAGTTTTATTTGCATAATCTCTAGAACCTCTTAAATGAATATCAAAATCTTTCTAAGGTAAATGTTTATATCTTATTTTTCTCTACCATATCACTAACTGTAGATATTATCATCAACGTACAGTGCAATGAAATGTTTAAAATTAAGAAATAAAAATGTACATACTTTTTAATTTTTCATAGACTATCTTAACATGTTTGTTGCCACCAGTAGTATTAATAATTTGTACTCTTGTGCCAACCACACATTTCTTTTTTTTTTCATTAACCCAGGTGTCTGATATTTATATGGGTAACTATGATATGTTTAAATTGCTCAGCTCAGTTAAGCCACTTGTAATATGTGACCCACTGGTGTGTTACATGGTCCATAATTAAAAGTCAGTGGGGCACATCGCAGAGAATATGTTAAAAGATCTTCTTTTGGTGATATTTGTATTTTCAGGTCTTTTTTTTTCACATGTACTTAATTTTTATTGTTTTATTTTCCTTTTCTGTTCTATACTGTTTATTATTCATCTCGACACAAATCAGTGACACCCTTGGGGCAAACTACAGTGGCTTTGGGAGAGAGGTGCAATCCTACGGCAAAATTATCTCGCATTTGTGCAAGATCGTAAGCCTTGAGAACTGGGGCAATGTTTGAGATGAACTTAAAAAATGTTTAAATCTTTCAATTATACATTTTAAAACATGAATAACACATAATTAACTCAGATATAAAAGTAAAACCTAAATACAATTTAACTGTCTCTCTAACTATAACATATTTAGGAAAGAAACAACTGTAAGTGCTATCATAGACAAAGCAGCCAACAATACTACCGGCAGTTACATCTACCTGATGACAACAATTGAGCACCAATTTCAAAATAACTACTGTTGGCTTATAGTGTAAAATAAGTTCTTACTAATGACTATATACAAATGTGTCAAGTAGCTACATGTGACTTGTAATGCTCAAGAAATAGTATAGAAGGTGGTGTGGCACCTGTCAGGGGTTGGAAAAATTTATCTCTAGTTTCAACAGAACTCAACCAAAGAACTTTGAAACATATGTTGTTAATTGGGCAAGTAAATGTACTTATTGTCTAGACATACATTTACCAGGCTGGGGTTATCTGAGTCAAGATAGTGCAAAAGTTGATATTTTTCATAGTTCGTGGGTCATGTGACAACAAAACTGAAGCGTAAGTATTTTTTTTAAAGGTTACTTTTGAAATAAAGGAATTAAAACTTAAATAACATAAACCTTGGAATTATATCATACATTATAATGTTAATTACATTGATAGTAAAGTAGTTTATTTAAATTTTGAATGTAACGCAGTGACATGCGTAGAAAGGGATTTACAGGGGTACCCATTGCAAAAGATTAAGGGTTTGGTTAGTTTAAGATATAAAGTTAAGGGTGTTGTTAGTTAAGATATAAAGATGAGGAGGACTTAAGGTAATGGATAGTTTAAGGTATAAAGTTGAGAAGGACTGTTAAGGTTGTTGTTAGTTAAGATATAGAGTTGAGAAGGACTATTAAGTGTGTGGTTGGTTTAAGGTATGAAGTTGGGGGAGGATTATTAAGAGTGAGTTGGTTTAAGGTATCGTCGCTGACAAAAATATTTAGGTAGTTAAAAATAAATAAATAAACACAAAGAAAGTGACTTCTATCATTTCTAATTGTTCTATTGGAAAATATATGTTAAAGTAGAGATTCAACTTTATAATAAAGCAATAAATTATCATACAATATGCATGAAATGGAAAATAACATGCAAAAATTAATTTCTACTTTTACACAAAAAGTATATGTGCAATCAACATATTTTGCATGAAGCCCATTCATTGCTAATTATTACCAACACCTGATAATAATTGTAGAATAAATAAGTAGGTAATAAGAATACAGAAATGATCTCAAAATGGCAGTGAATACAACTAAGCAAAGAAAAGAAGAAACTATCAGAAAACTAAATGGAAGGCTCTGTTTACTCAGAAGCATTACATGGACCATTATTGACAAACAAAGCAGTACTGGAACTACTGCAACTAGCTCAATGTGTGGGAGACCAAGCAAGAATCCTACAAAGTTTGTAAAAAGAATTGAGAAAAGATGATCAAGAAATGTACAAGCTATCAGTCCAAAGATACCTTAACAAGATGAATGTCCATGGGCAAAAATCAAGCTGCAAAACGTTAAAATCAATACACAAAAGAAAGCAGTTGAAGTTTTCCATTGAAAGTTTATAGCCCAAAAAATCCAAATTAGAACTTTTTTTTTTCATTAAGAAAGCAAACAAGTGTTTAGAGGATGATAGGAGAAGAATTTAAAGAAAAATTCATTGTGACAAGTGTTGAATACAATGGAGGTTGTGTGATGGTATGGGAATATCTTTCTTCCTCGAGTACTGGCTACCTTTGTATGGTAGAAGAGTCAATGAATGTTGCAAAATATCAAGAAATTTTGCACTCTCATTTATTACTAAGTGCTAGAAGTCTTATTGGATAGAAGTTTATATTCCAGAAGGATAATGACCCTAAGTATTCTGCAAAGTCTACAATTGATCTTCTGAAAAGAAGATCAAAGTTATGGATTGGCCACCTCAGTCCCTGGACTTGATTCTCATCAAGATGTTATGGATTGACTTGAAGGCTACTGTTTTATTCAAAAGGAAACCAGAATCAATTACAGAACTAAAAGATACGTGTGTTGAGAAATGGATAAGAATATCTCTGAAAGAATGTTAGGAACTGGTTTCAAAAATACAAAAAAAAGACAACAAGCTGCAAAGGGTGGACACACAAAATACTAAAATATGATATTAGTTTCTACATGTTATTTTTCATTTTATGCATGTTGTGTAATAATTTCTTATTCTTTTATAAAGCTGAACCTTTATTTTAATGTATATTTTCCAATAAAACAATTAGAGAACATGGAAATTACTTTCTGTGTGGTTCTTCATTACTTTTTTTCTAACCACCTGTTGGTGACTGTTAAGTGCAAGATTGGTTATACGATACAAGTTTTAAGTGGAGTTTAAAGATTGGCTAGTTTTTGATATCTGACATTGGTAGAAACTTTTGTTTCAATATATGTATTATTTTTAAAACAGAGTGTGGTTTTTGTTGCTTATTGTATGTATGGGTGGTTAATGTTTTTTATCTGAAAGTTCTCTAATGCAAATAATTTGGGTTAACAGTAAACACTTGAGTTAGAGTAGGTTTTATAAGTTACAAGTATTGTGGTGTTTTAATGGAGGATTGTAGCATTTACAGAATTACTAAACATTTTGATATAACTGCTGGATTGAAGTAGATTTTAGGTGTTATTACTAGAAGAATTCTGAAGGTTATAATTTACAGTAATTGGTATTTTTGAAATTAGGATTGCAGAGAAATCTAGAATTGAAATATTTGTTAGTAAGTTTGAGATAAGTTATGAGATTGTTTTTTTTTTTATAATGAAAAGGTGATGGAAATATTTTGCTAAAATCGGAATGTCAAATGAAAACACCTAGTTTGATAAAAAGAAAGTGTCCCAATAAACAAGGATATATAGACTAATTAATTTTTCATAAATAATCTACAACAAGGGCAAGGTAATAAAGTGAAAAGTTCAATTATAAAATTGATATACTTGCAGGAATAAAAGATAAAAGCATGTGACATTAAATACTAATATTATAAACGATGCTTTGATAGAGATACTTGTATATTAGGAAGTAATGGTTTCCATAACTGGTAAAACTGTTATATGAACATTGCTAAGATTGTTTTTGTCGTAATTTATGACTTTTAACTGATAAAGATCTTGTTTCAAATGTAAAATGAACTGAGGTAATTAGAATCTAAATAGTTTCTGCTGTTATAATTGTTGTTATAGTTCAGTTCTTTGTTTGAACAGCTTGTGAATCAGCTAAAACCAGGAGGCCGTCTAGTCTTACCTGTTGGAAAAGAAAATCAGATGTTAGAACAAATTGACAAGCTACCCAATGGAGAAATTAAAAAAACTTCACTAATTGGAGTAGTTTATATTCCACTGACAGACAAGGAAATTCAGTGGTCTGGAAGGTTGAAGTAGTTCATTTGCTTAATGTAAATTTTGTTTTCATTAACTAACACTTAACAGTTTGGTTTTTGTCCACACAAAAAATTAATACAAGTTTAAGATATTTTTAGTATGGTAACTTATAGAGTGGAAAAAATAAATAAAAAAATTAACCCCAAAGGACTTGAAATAAAAATTTTCATATGCATTTTAATGTATACTCATTTTCCAAAACACTTGAAAAAAATATGATCTTTGCTTTTGAGGGAAAGTAAATATTGATAAATGGAAATCCCAAGGTATTGTGTCTCAGACTAAATAAACAATGCATATGCTTTCATAACAGAATTAGACTATTTTTCACTTTAAAGCTATTGTTTGTACACAATAAAACGTAATTGTTATGTTTCAGTTTTGTTGAGGATGCAACAAACTTTTGTGTTTAATTTAATTTTTGCTAGAGGCGTGCATTTGGAGTGAAATGTTAAAACCAGAAAATGGGACATTGTACAAAGAAACACTGACAAGTAGACAGATTTTATTATTCTAAATGTGTACATGGATTTAATATTATGAAAAATAAGAATATGTGTATAGACACCTTTTTTTTCTAATAAAATACAGATTCCAATATGGTACCTTCCCTTCTCTCACAATATTAGTTTTTTTTCTGTTTTGGCTGCCTTCTATATGCAAACTAAAGTTCCAATACATCTCTCTTATAAATCATCATGCGTCAACTCTCCACCAATAGGAGAACACTACTATTATGTGTCTCCCTCTATGCACCACTACCGAACTATCACTTCTTGCTTGGCAGTGCTCGTGTGCAGACGTCTTTCTTTAGACCACTGATTACCCTTGAAGTGGTTTAACTTTATTTTATTTAATTTCACTTTTATTTGAGAGCATCTGATTTACCCGTGTTTGATGTGCATTTTTTGCTTATTTTTGCTGTTACCACTTCAGGTGCATATCACTCGTCTGTTACTGCTCTTTTGGCCACCAGGGATTTCTTGACCTTTGTTCGCGGGGAGATGGAGCATTATATGGAACGCACGTTATCTCCTGTTCGTGCCTTATTTCTTCCTGTACTTTTGGAGCCTTTTACATGTGCAGGTTGAAGAAATTTTGATTTTCACTTCTTTTTAGAATATTTTGCGTTGCAATGCTATATTTTTGCAGATCCGTCTTATGGCCCCATTTTTATGACGTTTCGAGTATGACGTGATTACTGTGTCCTTGGAGTTGCGGGTGGCTTCTGTTCAACAGTGATCCATTTTTCACATCAGCTACCCCATTGGTCTCCATTGGAGCCGGGTGTGGTTTCGAGTCCTGTTCACAACCCTACCCTGTCCCAGCTTCCATGGTAGTGTAGTTCGCCGTTTTACTCCCTCCAGTGTGCCCGTCGTGGGGTAGTATACCTTTTTAGCACCATGCCCTTTGGTCTTCCTTTCCATATGTTTTTGTTGAGTGGTTTGCCCCTTTCCTCGACATATTCATATCCTGGGGCTGCACTTCCATGCTTACATAGATGACTGGCTTCTTCTTGCCCATTCCAACCAGTCCTACTTGTCAGCTCTTTCTTGATGCTGTGTGGATGGCATGATTAGTCACAATAATAGGGCCCTTCCTTCATATTACCCATTACCTTGTACATCTGGGTGTTTTTTCAACACCCATCTCGATCAGGCCCAACCTTATTCTCTCAGTGAATAGCTTCTCATTTAGCCCATTTTGTTCATCCTTTTTCCTTGGCTTTTTACCAATGGAAGTGAAGTGTTTTTCACTCGTGAGACTTGGCTCAGAATTTCTCGGCTTACAGTTGCCAGTATCTCAGAATTTCTTACCTGGCTTTTTGAGAGAAGTTCATCAGTCTCCTCGATTTTGAGTTTTCGGGCAGCCTTATCACATACCTTTTCTACAGTGTCTTTTTCTCCACAGTCCTTTCCATGTTGATCTATTTTTTCTGGGCTCTGTCAGCTGCTGAGACGTACATCACCTGTGGACTGGGACATTAATGTGGTCCTCCATACCCTTACTTTACTTTCGTTTGAACCCATTTCTTCCTGATACTTTTTTCACTTCTCCCTTAAGGCATATTTCCTCCTCCTATTAACTTGTGGGCATTGTGGATTGGATATTTTTGCTCGACATCACCATGGCATTGTATCATTCAACCTACCTCATCCTTTATTCAGATACTCACCAGGCCTCAGTGACTTGCAAGGGTCATTGTTCCTTTTACCCTATCTTTCTTCCCTCTATCTTTCATCTCTACCATCGCCCTGATCCAGAAAGCCTCCTCTGCCCAGTTCATGCCCTCTGTTGTTATATTGCATGCATGGCTTCCTTCCGAGGTTCTCGTTCATGCCTCTTTATCCTATAGCAAACTTCCTCTTCCTATGATTTTTCCCATGTTACTCTGACCAATTGGGTTCATCATTTGATCCAGTTGGTTTATTCCTCCTTGTCCCCCTCCCATCATTTTCTCTTTCTCGTGTCTTCCCATCAAATTCAACACCTCACCTTCTCTCTTGCTTCTCGTCTTCATTGGCCATTGAAGGAGATTCTAGAGTCGGGCTTGTGGACAACTCTGCAGAAGTTCATCTCCCACTACTTGCACAACATCATGATTTCTGCTTCCTCAGGGTATCGCCTGCCACCTGTAGCTATTCTACTGACCTCAGTGTGGCTTTGACATGAGGTAAGTCCTTACTTATGCTCTCTTTTCTTTCAGGGACCCTTGCTTCAACTACACTTTGTATCCCACTCTGTAGTGAGTGGTGCCTGATCAGGTATTCTCTCTGAACACTGAATGGGTTCCACGTAGATGGCTATAATCATTCTCAGATATATTTATACCCAAACAAACAAAAGCACAAACCTACACTGTAAACCATGTTAATTCATGCACTCTGTGCATGGCTATGCATGCTCATCCTTGAGATGGGGTGTTTCACAAGATCACTAGTGTGAATTACCTCGTGGTGTTTGCTTCATAAAAATTCCCGCCCCAGATCGTACTGCCCATGGACGGCATGGGTAAAGCAGAAGGGGGATCACTGCCCATCCCTATCATGCCTGGACTGAATAAGTCGGTATGTTCTGCTTTTCACAATATGATTTCATAATTACCCATTGCACTGTCTCAGGGGTAGCAGTCCCTCTGGACTCTCCAATGCACTTCTTCCCCCCCCCCTTTTTTTCTAGTGCAGTACGGGAGTCCTTACTATTCACCAGTTCCAAGCCACTGGGTTGGTTGACCATGGAGGCAACCTGCTGAATGGGTTTCACAAAGATTGTTATAACCATTCAGTTCAGAGTAGGGTGGTGGTGTTCTGCCAGTGTAGAAGAGTTACAAAATCATCCGGATGAGTGACACATGCCTGAAGTGAAATGCTTAAATGCAATTCCCCCCCTCCAATTAGGTGTCCTCCTCTTACCCTCACATGGATGTTGGTTCCCAGCAAGTGAGGTTTTGGAGATCAAGTAAACCAATCACATAAGTCTTCCCACTGGTTTTGGGTCATCCATCTTTCCCCCTTGACTCTGTCTTGTATGCTGTGGGTTACAGGAGGTCTACGTGGCCTATTTCCACTTCTCTCCTGGGCATTCTCTTCTAGTCGTTGGGGGCTGATTGCATGCTATGGACTTCTTTAAGATACTGGATGACACATTCCCGGGTCCCTAACTCAATGCTCATCCTGGAGACTATTATATGTACATTCATGACTCTAGGGCTTAAAAAGTGAAGATGGTATGATCCTCATCCTGTCCTTACATGGATGTCGTACCCAGCAAGTGAGGTTTTGGATGTAGTTGACTTACTGACTACAGTCCGATGCGCCCTAGCCACATCCTCCATCACCCACTTTCATTATGTGGGATTGAGTGTATCTGTTTCTCTAATTGAGATCACATTATGTACCTATCCTCTCCCATATGGATGTGCTCCCTTCATATTCCACCATGTTTTGATCCCACCTCTTCATGGCGAAGAGATACCTGGTTCAGAAGTGGTGCATTGTCCCTCCTCAGATCATCCGATCTGTTTCTCTCATTCCCAGGGGTGTCCTATGGACACTTTCGGGGTATATGCCTATTCTTCCCTCGCACCAGTCCTTCCTCCTTTTCAATGTAGGATTCAAGCTAATCTTCAGAGCGGAGCGAAGATACCGTATCAGAAGTTATAATTTTCCTACATGAAAATGTATTTCCGATAGGTACTTCCCTCCACTCACACTTCCACCCCACAATCTTCCAGTACTCACGTCTTCTGTCAGACTTTGAAGTGATAGTTTGTTAGTGGTGCATAGAGGGAGTCACATGATAGTAGTGCTCTCCTATTGGTGGAAAGTTGATGCACAATGATTTATTTGAGAGACATATTGGAACTTTAGGTTCCAATAGTGGGATGTGGAAGGCTTTTGGCATGCGTTTTGAAAAAAGGTTCACATATAGAGGGCAGCACAAAATGGGAAAAGCTAATCTTGGGAGAAGAGGGAAGTACTTATCGGAAATACATTTTCATATAGGAAAATTATAATGTCAGTTCTTATTATTAATGACATTTATTAATGTTGTATTAAGTCTTTCTATCTTCTAATATTAAACTTCAATTAATACTTATGGAATATAATTTCATCACACAAACCTCTAAGGTGTTAAACAATGACAATTACATAGTTATCCAGGTAAACTTACCATATGAAATTAATAAATTTCTTTACTTTACAATAAACTTTTAGACAAGAACAGCCTTTATTTCTCTAGAAGAAATATGCTTTCAAAGTGTTTAGTTTGTGGACTTTTATCAACAGACTGTACACCACAGTAATATATTTGGTACAACTGCAAAGTATCACTTCACAATTGAAAATGAATTTAAAGAACCATTATTTAATATTTTTATTGTATCAGCCTATTTGAATATTGACCCACAGTAATTGTCACGAAGTGTTTTTAGTTAGCATTGGTTAATTTGAATTCTGTTGTGTTAATGTTTAATGAATGTTTTTGTTTATATCTTAAAATATATATTTTACACAAGTCCTTATTCATGACTGGTTTGATTAATAAATTAAATATATGTGTATATATATATATATATATATATATATATA